TACCAGTGTGTGGTCGGAAGTGAAACAGTTTCACAAAACACCCCATACATTTCTAGTGGCAAAACTATAAAGGTATAAAAAGGTTGCGTATCGTTCCAAAATCTTTCTCGTAGGTATATCTACAGGTGTGCAGATATCACTTGGGTGTATTACGTACTCTTCTCCTCATATAATGCGCATGCATGTGCATTTACATTGAAAGAATGAAAAGCGAATGACACAAAATGTATATAAAGTAATAATCTAGTTTAGATGTACATGTTATCGAAATTTCTCTGGAAAAGATCAATGAGTGCATGAGTCATGTCCTTAATGACAATCCGTAATAACGAGGAGAAAGACGATGCATACCATACAAATATAATATCAGACGCATAATGACCAAGAAACATACAAGCTGAGATGACGCATCTCGCCATGAAAGAGATGCGTATAGAGAAAGTCTTCAGAAGAAGAAACTATGGGAATTAAGAAGGATGATCCCCACAAGTCAAATATGACAGAATAATACTTCGAAAACATCTGACGTATAAAAGGTTGTGGTTTCTGCGGTTAACCGATAAAATGCACCTCTTGTACAAGAGGCAACGAGTGATTGCAAGGACGCGGCTAAAGGATCGATCACTGATGTCGACAAGGCGTGAATTAAAAGCCATACTCATCGACGCTATGATATTCACGGCCTACTAAGCAAAGAAGAGTTCTTCGATAATTCCTCTATTCAAGAAAGGTAATGCTGAAAACCTCCAGAACAATCGACCCAACACTCTCCTGTCACAAGTCTACAAGGTCTTTACCCGAATCATCCTCAAACTTATCAACCTCAAACTGCTTGCTAATAAAGTACAAACCGTATTCCGAACAGAGGTCAGCGTAGAGCACATCCAAGTCGTGAAGCAGTTACCAGAGAAGTGTGAGAATACCAGTCTACCAGTCCACCTGTAAGGCATTCGACGACTTCAGAAAAGTGTTTGATTCAACCGATCTGAGCACTATACTGAACTTCTTGCGCAACTGCGCCATTATCACATGGATACGTCGACCTCTCATAGAAGAAGTGAATACTGATTCCGCAACCGACATCAAGCTGTTCAAGCAGCCCTGTCGAATCAACATCAAAAAAGGAGTACTCAAAGGCGATTGCCATCTCTGCTAAACTTCACGCGGTGGTGCTGGAATCACTTTTTACAGCGACGCATTAACATCGACGGAGAACTGCCTGTCCATCTGCTTCTTGCAAAGTATGTCTTCATGTTAGCAAAAGATCCTGCGGAACTCAAAGCAGAGGTCGTGCTGTTTCAGAAGGAGTGACGTGCCATCGGTCTGGAGATGAACATCTCCAAGACGAAATGGATACAAAACGAACGACGCCCCGTGAGTACCATATTCACTGATGAGAAAGAAGTGGGAAAACTCACTCGTCAAGTATGCCTCGGTCCCTTAATAGACTCTAATAACAACATCAACCGTGAGATTAGCAGAAGAACAAAGACGGCATGGGCTAGTTTCAGTCACATCAGAATATCGCTCTTGGAGAACGAACTACCCCTGTCCCAGAAACAAGGAATAATGGAAAAAAGAATGTGCAAGGTTTCCCTTCGAGACCATATACCAAGTGTAGTAGTCCTACGATTTTTGATTACACCCACTACCGCCTGCAACTTTAAGAGAAAGTGGGTTGGGCAGGTGGTTCGCCTGAAAGACAACAGGAAGACATTGCGAGGTACCAACTGGATCCACCTCGGCAACAGATGTACACTAGGTAGTCCACCAGCGTGCTGGAACGACCCATGTGACGAATCTGTTTGGTCAGCGGTGGAAGCGAACGGCACAACATAGAGAAGAATAGCGGAACGTCGTCTTGCATCAGGGGGGGGGGACGGCCGTTGACGAAAAGAAGTTCGACAGAAGAATGAAAAAAGGCGAAATGCATCATGTGAGGTCGATACTTCCGCCGACCTCGATGCCAATAATTGTACAGCTAACCGGCCGGCTTCGGACGGCGCATTTGTCAATTAGACAGGAAGGCGGGTATTTCTGCCCATCGCAAGTGGAACTGTAGAAAATAAGTAGTGAACTGCCGATCGGTCTTAATACCGTAAAGATGTCACTTAATCCACCGGCTAATCGGTGAACGATGAGAGTTTCTCCATCTTTCAGGAACAGTGCCACCAAATCAGCCCGTTTATATGAACAGTGTTTTCTGTTGCATTTAAACAACTACAACCCTGCGGTTAGGCGTCGGATCGTCAAAGGCTAGAAGAAAATACTTCGGCAAATCAGAAGGACGGAATTGAGAGAGAGACTTGCATCTACGAAACACTATGAAATTCCCAAGGTCACCGTCAGCCCTGTCAGTGGATGGCAAAACTGCATGCGCTATGACAAGACAAATAAATGGACGTAAGTACGCCACTGGTCTCTCGACCAATTCAACAGTGGCAGTTCGGTGTTCGACTGACAACAGGGGCTGTTAAGAATCCCAGTGAATTATCGACACTTAGTAAAATGACTCGAACCTCCTCGCCGTTTGCATTAGGATATGCGACGGGATACATATTCAACCCCCCAGCGAAGGATAGGTCAGAGACGATCGGCGATATTCTAGGCCGTTGCAAGACACGACGACGGAATCAGATGAATTGCATCTGGAAAGACGTTAGTTCGATTAGCCTTCGACAGCGAGAGAGCACGAAGACCACAGCAGCAATCGAATTTGCAGTGAGCAACATCGAAAATCACCAAAACCGCGCGCGATGTGTCTCCAACTGAACAAGCAAAGGGCCTTGAAGACCGCTCAAAGCTATGCCTCAACAAATACAGCCGACGAGGAATATGTGGAAGAATTCTGTCAAACGTTCACGCTTACGTATACCCTATATACAAATTATATTTCTCACCTGCGCAATCCAGTTTTGGAAATATGGTCGAATTTTTCCAATATCTTGAATGAAAACTGGTGTAGTAAACTACCTCTTGTTGTATAGGATCGCTTTATTCTACTGGAGACGGGCGATAAAATATCTGTGGGGAACAGCATACTGTTTTTGTGCTGTATTTGTTTCTTCGAAGAGGTGGGCTGCTTCATGGCC